TCACCTGATTCTGGCAACAAACTCCAGCAGGTGTCTTCGCTCCAAGCTCCCTCATACACCCTGGGCCTGCCCTCACTTCACTAGAGGCAGAGTGATAAAGTGTGTACTTGACCGCGTCTCTTCCCTGCATGTGACCATTGTATGATTCCCCAGTGGCCCTAAGTAGAAAACCCAAACTTCTAAGGCAGGGGTTGCCAAACTATGGCCTGTGGGTTGACTCGCCCACGATATGTTTTTGTACCGCTCACAAGCTACAAATAATTTTTACATTTTAAAATTGTCGAAAGAAAGCCAAAGAATGTGATGTGATAATTATATGAACTTTATTCAAAGTACACAAAGAACTCTTAAAACTCAACAATGAGAAAACAAACAACCCAATTCGAAAATGGACAAGAGATCTTAACGGGCACCTCATCAAAGAAGATACACAGATGGCAAATAAACATACAAAGTGAAGCTGAACATCATAGGCTATTAGGGAACTGCGAATTAAAACAGCAACGACCTACCACTACATACCCGACAGAATGCCTAAAATCCAAAACGCTGACAACATCAAATGCTGGTGAGGCTGTGGAGCAACGGGAACCCTCATCACTGCTGGCGGGAATGCAAAATAGTGCAGCCACTTTGGAAGACAGTTTGGAGGTTTCTTACAAAAGTAAACATACTCGTACCATATGATACAGCAATCGTACTCCTCGCTTTCGAGGGCGGGGCCATAGCTCATCCTTCCCCTTCTCTGCATCCCAGGCGTCTAGGGCCTGCCCTGTGTATGCTCAGGAAGTACCTTTTAAGGCTTCTGAACCTGACGTCCAGGCATGGATGAGCGTCAGTATCTGCGGACCCACTGAAATCAGACGATAAATGTCGTATGTGTGTATGCTTGGCATATTTTCTGGGGAGAAAGAAAGCCCTTGTTTTCATGAGCTTCTCTGAGGATATCATGACTAAAATTTTTTTTATCGAAGTATATTTGATTTACGATGTTGTGTTAGTTTCAGGTGTACAGCAGAGTGATTCAGTTGTTTTTTTAAAATTATATTCCATTATAGCTTATTATATCAAATAGAATTCCCTGTGTTATACAGTAAATTCTGGTTGCTTATCATCATCATTTGTTTTTAAAGCCCCAAATCTGTGAACTACTGATTTCGGATTAGCATGAGTTAAAACTAGCAAAGGCAAAGGAGATCCATATCTGGGAGAAGAATATTCAGAAGAGATTCATACAAATATCTGGGCTAGAGTTGACTCATGCTTGCGATGATTAATTTTTATGAGTCAACTTAGCTAGGCCCTGGTACCCAGTTTTCGGTCAAATACTAGTCTGGATGTTGTTGAGAATGTATTTTTTAGACGTGATTCACCTTTAGAACAGTAGTCTGTAAGTAAGGCACATTACCCTTTATAAACACCTTAAGAGAAAAGATTGAGGTTCCCAGAGGAAGAATTTGGGCCTCCAGACCCTCTTCAGAGTCAAGGCTGCAACAGCAGCTCCTCCCTGGACATTTGTCAGTGAGAAAAGCAGAAAGACTTTTGGCATTGGAATGCTTGCTGGAATTAGGTTATCTTTGAAACCACAATCTTGGGTTCCACAGGAAGCATATATACTCAGAAGAAATAGGTGGTGATAGTCTGAAAACTACTCCTTGGAAACCTGAAATACGTGCACCTGGCTTCACCCAATGGAAACTTTAAACATAAGAAACACTAAGAAATGGCATGCCAAAATATTCCTTCCTTTTGTACACTGGCTTTTTAAAAAAATTTTTTTCTTGGGGTATAGTTGTTTTACGACGTTGTGTTAGTTTCTACTGTACAGCGAAGTGGAGTTCCCGTGCTATACGGCCATTTCTCATTAGTTATCTATTTTATACATATTAGTGTATACATGTCAATCCCAATCTTCCAATTCATCCCACCACCACCCCCTTCCCCCCTTGGTGTCCATATGTTTGTTCTCTACATTTGTGTCTCTATTTCTGTACACTGGCTTTCTTAGTTCAACTTCTGCTTACTAAATGCATAACTGATATTTATTTTGCTTTTAAAATTATTTGCTGCTGTCTGTTTCACAAACATTGTAACAGCAATTAAGGAATTTTGTTTTGAAGAGAAAAATTTACTTACAACACCACTACTGTAGAAACTCATTTTGTGGAGCTTTTCCAAGGACACAGATTTTAAAAAAAAAAGGGCTGACAGACCTTGGAATTCAGGGCAGAAGGCCTCTGGAGAAGAGGAAATGACACAAACTAGGGTGGAACCACTGTCATTTCTGAAATGAATTTGATGAGTTGAAATTCTCGCAGCAGCACGGCCGGCTGCACTGAAAGAGCATTCGCAGCGTTTGGAAACAACCGAGGCTGTTTGGCTTTTCGCAGCAGCTGTCTCGGTGAACTCTCTCCAGGCTCAACTATCTGCTGCACATTTCCCTTTTTGTCTTTCAAAGCCCCAGCCTAGGAGGATTTGGCAGCTAGGACAAGGTTGAGTGCGACGGACACAGGAAACGACGGCCAGTGGCTGGACTGGCGCCTGAATGCAGCTGAATGGGGACACACAGCCAGGCCTCAGCACGGAGTCAGCTGCCACCCAAAGCACCAGGCTCAATGTCACCAGCTTGCTGGTTTCTCTGTTCTAAGCGTCTTGACTCTCTTAGGAAGGTAACACTGAGAATGGGGCACAGTGCAACTCAAGTCTTAACCTAGTAGTGTGGGTAGCTCCTAAGGAAAGGGAGAGCAACTGGGAAGCAAACTAATATTTATCTATTGTATCCCGCCCTGTGCTGGGCACTTTCTTGACATACATGCTGCAAAGGAGAGTGATTAGGCTCACTGCCTAGGTATGAAACATAGTAGTCACTTAACTGCTCCAGGCCTCATTTTCCCTCCATGACAATAACATAAAAATAATACTGATGCTAGAGTTTATTATGAAGATTCAATTAATTATTATGAGTGAAGCACTTAGAACACTGCCAGGAACACAGTTAAGTGCTATAGACGTGTGTGCCGTTATTATCTTTATTGCTTCATTTTAGCACAGCCCTGCTCATCCTTTATGATTGAGGAAGCTGAGGCTCACGGGGATTAAGTCAATTACCGGAGATGGCAGAGCCTGAAACCAAACTCAGATTTATCCGACCGCGGTGTTTTCTTCTCAGAACGCGACCGGGCCTGCTCAGTGCTATCGAATTCCCCCTCCTACTTGCCAGCTTAGGGTTCAGTTTAATTAGCCTTTCTTTGTACTGACAAGGATGAAATCATATATACGACTGAGGCTGTGCCTTTCATCTCCCATTCCACCCATCCCTGGCTAAAGTCCCATGGGGGCGTAGGTGGGAGAAGAAACTTCCCCCCTACATTCCCCTCTTACAGGCCTAATCTGGTCTTTCTGACGTTACCTATGCTTCCTCTGACTTTCAGAAAGCCTGTGGCGTGGGGTGGGGGGGGGGGGGGGAGGGGGAGGGATAACCACAACTAAATAAAAGAAAAACTCTGATAAGCAGGGGCCTTATCATACTGGTGGATTTTCGGGGAGCAGCTGGCCTGTTAGGACAGTGATGTCCAACAGAAACACTATAAACACGAGTCATAGAGGAAATTAAAAATTTTCTAATAGCTATATTAAAAAGGTAGAAAACAAAAGCGAAATTAATCTTAATAATACTTAACCGAATATATCCAAAATCTTACGGTTTCGGCCTGGAATCAGTATAAAAATTATTAGAGGTATTCATACATTTTTTGTATTATGTGTTAAATCCACTGTGTATTTTACACATACAGCCCTAGAGCTATATACCCCAAGGGTACAACAGGTACCAGCCAGACACAAAGATACGTGTGTTCCAAGGGCCTTCTTTATTCTTTTAGCGACTTCATATGTCCGAAAGCCTCCCCTGCCTCTCATCCCCTCTCCTCTTCCACGGGCGGAGGCTTGCATGGGGAAAAAAAAAAATGGCTGAAGCAGTAAAGAAGCCGCTCCCCCGCCCTCCCCTCCATCATCCCCGATGAGGGCAGTTTTTACAGGCGGTTGAGATTTCTCGTGTGGTCACAGACGGTTTGTGCCCACCTGCACGTTTTGTACTTCTCATTATGCGGGGTCGGGGCGAGGATGGGGGCATTCCAGGAGCTAGAAGGACTCAGGCCTCTCTTGGACCCCGACAAAGTCCTTTCCAGCATTTTGTGCCCATAGGGACTGTGTGGCCTCCACTGGCGACAGCACCCCCGGAGGGGAGAGCGGCCCGGTTGGCCAAGCAGACACTTGGCAGGGCTCAGATTTCCTGGACCGGATGGCGGCCCGGAGCCCGGAGGCCGCGGCGCGGGTCGAGCACAGGATACGCGGCGGGCGTGCGCATCCCGGGATCCGCCCGCGCTCGGCCCCTGGCGCAGCTGCAGCGGATCCGCCACCTCCTCCGGGGCTTGGAAGCGGCAGGAATTCCCCCTCCCCGGCCCCGCGTGCCCCTCCGGCCCGGGCTACGGGGCGGAGTCGCCCACCTGTCATCCGAGACGCCCCACGTGGGTCGGCCTGGGATGGGGGCGGGGGTTGAAGGCAGGGAGAAAAGGCGGAGGCGGCGACGGAGGTGGGAGTGAGGGTGGGGAGAAGAGAGGAGAGGAGGAGAGAGGGCAGCTGCCCAAAGCCGCGCGGAGAGCGAGAGAAGAGCAGCAGAGAGAAAAAAAAAGGACCTGTGGCGTCCAGCCTGGAACAGGTAAGGGGCGGCAGGTGAACAGAGGAGGGAAGCCCCGGGCTAGAGAGAGTGAGGAGAAGACCAGAGGCAAGCGCGAGGAGAGCTGCGGACGAAGGACGAGGCAGGACGGAAAGAAGAGTAGAAGGGGGACCATTCTAGGCGGAGGAGGGGCGAGGGTCCTTCAACGAGCGGCGGCGGAGGACCCGGGGCCGCTGCCCCTTTAAGGTTGCCAAGGCGACGGCTCTGGCCAGAGCGAGGCGCATTGACGTCAGCAGCCGGGCACTGATTGGCTGCGGCGCGGCCGTTTCCGGTGGAGCAGCCGAGGAGCAGCTGTAGCCGAGAGGATTCGGGCTGGGAGGGGAGCGCTGAGGTAGCTCCGCTGGCCGCCGCCTCGACCGCAGTCCGAGCCCGCCGCCGCGCGCCCGCAGGTGAGAGGCCTCGGGGGGGGCCACCGCGCGCCCAGCTTTGCCGCCAGCCGCCCGTTTGGAGGCGCCGGGCCGATCCAAGATGGCGTCGCGGGGAGCGACCTGCGGGGGACGGCCGCACCCCCTGCGCCTCCCGGCCCGGCGCCTCCAGAGGGCCTCCCGCGGGCCTAGCTCCCTGGCCCGGGTCTGCGACCCCCAGACCCCCGGGGCCCGCTCCGGCCGCCCCGCCCCTGCGGCCTCCCCGCTCGCCCTCCCGCGTCTCCTGAAGGACGGTGGCGAGATGTCCCCGGAATCCGCCATCGCCCCCCGGCCTTTCCGGCTGCTCCGGGGACCCGGTGGTCCTCGTTTTCCTCCCTCCGGCCTCCTCCCCGGCCTCTCCCGCGGGCGCTTCCCCTTCCTTCCCGGGATTGTCGCCCCGCCCCCGCGGTGGTCGTCGTCCGGCCGCTCCGTGGCTTTCTGTCCCCTCTTCCCTGCCCCCCTTTCCAGGTCCCCGCCCCCCAGGTCTCCCCTTGGCCTTCCGACCAGAGCGGGATGCAGGATGGGCCTCCCTTCCTCTCGTGGCCGTGACTGTGGCCTAAGTGGAGTGAAGGGCACTTCCGTGTCCTTGCTCCCGAAACGTGCGCGGTACCTGTGACCCGCCCCCCCTCCCCCGGCAGCTCAGTGCAGGTGCGACGCCGAACGGCGTCACCGCAGGAGGGATGCCCGAGAGATGGGTCTTCTCGGTGCTCCGAGGATGACCCCCAGGAAGGGCTTCTGGCTGGTCTGAGGGTCTGCGGCCTGAATCAGCGAGTTTCTCAAGGTGTCTGGCATAACGCCTCGCATGTGATCCCTGTGAAACGGAATTGTGTCACAGCCGACTTTCTGAAAGAAAATCTCAGTGTTTTCTTAGGAGGAGAGACAATGCACTGTACGTTTTGCAGCAGTTAAATAATTGGGGGCGGGGGTAGCTAAATTGTTAGGCTTTTACAACGAAGTACGAGGACGGACTTAATCTAGGTGTATTCGATTAAAAAAATAAGACCGTGAAATACGGATATTCCGGGGTTCACACGGTGACCTGACTGCGCCAGCCCTGGGGCATTTATGTTAATGTGCTACCTTATTTCCGGTGTCCTCTTTTCGGTGTTTTAAATACATTGTTGCAAACAACAAACCAGTCTCACCGCTTAGCCCCAGTTCTGTCATTTCTGCCACAGACCTGATCTTCGAATGATTTCTCTGATCCGATGAATACATGTATTGATATTCCTGAGATGGTTCTGAATGCTTTGAAGCATAAAAAGATCTGATTGATCATTGTTCTCGGTGGCTTTCAGTACAGTACCTTTTCAAATGCAGAAAATCCTACTGAAGTGGATTCTCAGTTCATGTGGCAACTGGAAAAGGGGCTGGTGTAAATCTGTCCAAAAGTACCGTGTTGTTTTGTGTTTGTTTTGTTTTTGTGTGTGTTTGTATTAGAGTGTTTATTTCTGAAGTAGCAGCATGAGTCTTTTTCTGTGGCCTCTTAATTTATGTGCTTGTCAGGGAGCTACAGACTTTCTCATGGTCTGTTAATTAGTTTACTCGTTATTGACCCTTACCATGAAAGTTGTCAAAACAAGATGCCTAACAGCACGGTAGCTCTTTACTCTGCTGATTCTTTCTCCTTTGAAATTTACAATGTCATCTCAGTGGTTTTGTGTGCATTGTATTTGGAAAAGACCAACTAGTATTGAATTCAGTTGCAAAGTGGGGGAGTCCCCACTTTTATCTTCTAATCTTAATTACTTAATAATTAGGAGTTGAAAGGAAAACAGTTTATGGCTCTTTTGTTAAATTAGTAAGCTTTTAATTCCAGCGTAAAGTTAGATGCCCATTGTTACATTTGTTTATTTTACTTCACATCGAGGTAGTTTGAACCTTCTAAAATTCACTAAATGCAGTTTTATCTATTGAGTCTTCATGTGAGTTTAAAACTTAATGTTTTAACATTTTCCTGTCCAGATGAATAAAATGTTTTTTTTCCTGTCCAAATCTTTTATCGTTTACTTGGTAAGGTGTTTCTTTGTTTATGTGGGTTTTGTTTTTTTTTTTTTCTATTAAGGATTTGCCCTCTTACTAGTGGGTAAGTGTGTTATCATCTAGAGCTGGAATCTGGTAAAAAGAGATTAAAAGTTGCTTTTATAACTCATCTGGGGTTTCTTTTGTGTTTTAAAAAATGTTGATTGTGCTAGTAGTTGGCTAACCAGAGCCTTTGCTCCAGTGCTTTGCTGGGTGAGATTAGGACACTCCCCTGGGATCCGGGTTACGAATAGGGAATGTCAGATGTTCTTTCTTGTGCTTTCTTGCTTTCACTTAGAGCTGACTTGTGTGCCCTTATAACTCTCTGCCCCATTTGCCATGTACACACTGTGCAGGGCATCATGGTTTCTTTTGTAGGAGAACTGAATGAAATTCCCTTAAGGGCCTGACTCCTCAGCACCCCGCCTCTGCCGGGGATAAGTGGCCCATGCTTCCTCTGGGGAGCTGAGGTTCTTCTCACTGTGGCTGCCTGCGGAGCCTAGGGCCTGTGCAGCAGGACCTCAGTGAAACACTACTTTGAGAGAATGCTATTTCTGTACATACTCGACTCCCTAGCCCTCACCTCCCTGTTTAAAAAAAAATCTGCTTAGAAGGAAATCCTTGTGAATCAGTTGTCTAGTGAATTTGTTAGGTCGAAGGCCAAATTGACATTTGCTCTTTGTAAGCAGTTTTCACAGGCATCTGTGTGTTTTCCCCACAGCGAGCCATGGCGTCTGGCAGCACCGCCAGCGAGGAGGAGCGCAGCCTCCGGGAATGCGAGCTCTACGTGCAGAAGCACAACATCCAGGCCCTGCTCAAGGACTCCATCGTGCAGTTGTGCACCGCGCGGCCCGAGAGGCCCATGGCATTCCTCAGGGAATACTTCGAGAGGTTGGAGAAGGTAAAAATAAATGGGGCAGAGCATGAGATGACCCTGACGATTGTTAAAGGGGATGCTGTAGGGTGTCGCAGATTTGTACCTTTTGGAAGAAAAGGAATTCTGACCAAATCATAATCTACAGTCATCATCATCATCTAAAGTAGAACTTCAGAAAAGAAATGTAGTTAACGCACTTGAAGTAATTTTTAACTTTGTAATCAGTAGAATTTATCACAACCAGTCTGTATGCTAAGTTTACTTGGCTGACAGGTTTTCGTTTTCCAAACGTAGTTCCTTGTAGCTATTTTAATGAGTACATAAAACTGACTAAATGAAATGACTGAGTAGATACAGTTGATCAGAAGTAGTGCGGCACTGTACAGCAGAAACGAACACACTGGAGTCGTAACTCAGCTACACTCCAGTGAAAACTTTTTAAAAAGTAGTACAGCAGTGGTACTGACCATATTTTCACACATATAACCTAACACCTAATGCACAGAACAATGACCTGTTGAAAAGTTGAAAACCTAGTTACTTGAAAGTCCAGATATTTACATTCAACCCTGGCTAAAGGAGTGTATGCAAGCGAACAAAGATCCTTGAATTATAGGAAAAAGTGTTAAGCTGTGACTTTTATTAAAAGGCAAAGAAGCCAACACACATTAAATTAAAAAATCCCACGTGCAAAGAAACTAATGATCATTTCTTGTTTTCCCCTTGGTCAGTGCTTAAACAGGGCTATGAGAGTACAGGCTCTGAAATGAGCACCACACACTCAACACTCCCTATAAAAAGACACACCCTTCATGTCTCACCAACCTCATCCCCTCATCAGATGTGGCTTCTGTTGATGTCCAAAGAAAAGAAGAGGGATCACCTTTCAGTGACCAGTTTCAGAATCAGGTCTCCAGAAACACACTTCACTTCAAAACAGGGAAGGCCCACAGCAGCCTGGCGCTACAGTAGTTCACTATCAGGGAACTGCTTAAATAAGAGAAAACCAGACTAGCTTTATGTTGTAGTACCGTACGACCCCCGAATTTCATTCGTTTACTACAGAAGTCCTAACATCTTGGTCATGTGCAGCTCTTGTGGGCTCAGCCCATCTTCTCTTCTTGGCTCCATGTATCTTGTTCTGGGGTTGAGTGGAAGGAGCTGCTCCCAAGGCCGAGAGGGATAGGATGCTGCAGGGGCCAGAGTCAGATCTTACAAGAGGACATGCTATGGCAAAACAAGCCACATACCCAGCCCCAAGTCCGTGGGACGGGGACGTTTACCTTCACCTACAGGGAAGCATGGAATGGCAGGGGCAGGGAGGGGACAAATAGTGATTGTTGAAAGCATATTAAGTAAGCGGTGGGCACAGCGTAGGAGCTTAATACTCTAGGATGTGTTGACAGTCAGTGGACTGGGAGGGGTTCTTTTGTCTGTTTTTGTTTTGAGAGAACTGAGGAGGGAGGAGACTGACCGAAGGATGAACAGACAACAGCAAGAAAAAGGACGGAAAAATGTATAATAGGAATCGATGATCTCAGTAATGGCTCTGAGTCACCAGGATTAGGTTCTGGCTGATTGTTGTTGAAGATGAAAACCCATGGAACAGTGTTAAAATCAAAATGGTTTTGGTACTTCAAAATTGTCTGAAAAATTCAGTTAGATAGAAGACAGTTCCAAATGAGATATTACTTGTGAAACTTTCCATGAAATTTTTGTGAAATATCAGTGACAGATTTTGGGGGTAGAATTTGTGTTTTCATTTATACTCTTGAACTTTAGACTTTGGGGGAGACTTGAGTTTTAAAGTTCTCTGTTAATATGGAATGGGAAAACCTTACCTGTTTACTGGAATTACCGGAATGAAAATGAAGTGGGTTTTCTTTAAAAATGTATTTTTTTTAAAAATGGTTGTATATTTGCACATGGTTCAGAATTCTGCAGGTACAAAAGGATATGACAGTAAAAAGTCTTCTTCCCACTTCGTTGTCTTCCTAGAGCGCAGGAAGACACTGTGTTCCAGGGATAATATATGGGCGCTTACAAATTCATATCCAGCATGTGCATGGTATTCCATTACTACAGTTTATTTAATCTCCATGTTGACGGCCATTTTGGTGGTTTCCAGTGTTTTACTATTAAGAGCAATGATATAATAAATAACTTTGTATATCTGTCATTTCACACACACGCATATTTTAGAATAGATTCCCGGCAGTAGACTTACTGGATTAGTTGGTCAACAGGTAAGTGCATTTGTAACTAAATATGCAAATATATTAAAGTTGTTTTTATCATAGGCTTTTATTACTGTGTTTTTAATTGAAAATTAAAATCTAGAGAAATGAGAAAAATAAAACCAGTTCCTCCGTCCAAAAAATAAAAAAATAAAAATCAAACATGAGTCTGTAATAGAGATAAACACTATTAATGCCTTGATTGTGATCGTTCTAGACTTTCCTTGCTGCGTTTATATGTTCTTTTATTTGTCTTGATGCCAAATGCAGAGCTGAGTAGCATGCAGGAGAAAAAGTAGGCAGCTCCTCAGTTTCTTTTTTATCAAAAAATTTATAGAAATAGTAAATGCTGAGTTCATTTAGAATTTGAAAGACGGCTTAGAGAAATAATGGAGGGTGAGTCAGATGAATGAGAATGTAAATAGCTCACCATTCTTGGCTTTTTTCATTCTGATTTTACGTCAGGGCATAACTCACTCTTTACTGAAGACCTGAGAGGAATTTCTTTTTAAGGCCCTAGATCTGAAAAATAAGAACGTTAAGTAGTTGATATCAGTTTTAAAGGGATTGGTTTAATAAGTTTTTAAAAGCGGGTAAACTTTTTTTTGTTTTAACTTCGAGTGTCCACCCTGACCATAAAGAATGCTTCCAGCTCTGTTAGGAGAAGTATTGTTAGGTCCGATCTTAGTTAAACTCTAGGTACCATCACATTGCATTATTTGTTTATACCTGAGACTCCAGCTAGAATATGAGCTCCACAGGCTCAGGACTCTTTCCTGTTGGTGTTTTTTGTTTTTGTTTTTTTTTTTTTAATTTTATTTATTTATTTACGGCAGCGTTGGTCTTCGTTGCTGTGCGTGGGCTTCTCGTTGCGGTGGCTTCTGTTGTTGCGGAGCACGGGCTCTAGGCGTGCAGGCTTCAGTGGGTGTGGCTCGAAGGCTCTAGGGCACAGGCTCAGTAGTTGTGGCGCGCGGGCTTAGTTGCTCCGCGGTATGTGGGATCTTCCCGGACCAGGGCTCGAACCTGTGTTTCCTGCATTGGCAGGCGGCTCCTTAACCACTGCGCCACCAGGGAGGTCCTCCTACTGGTTTTTATGTTCCCCTTGCCTGGTGTAGACTTGGTGTGGCAGACCCAGAGAATACGTACTGAATTAATGGAGTAACACAGTAATCTAGACATTCTTCTATCACTTTGCTGTGCCTGTGTGCTTATTCCTAGATGGCATTCTTGGGCGGGGCAGGGATCTCACACTAATTTCCCAGCCTTTTGTTTTGCAGTTCATTACTGTTGAGTGCATTACAAATCATTGTCGGTATATTATCATAATGAGTGTATAATTTTTTATTTGCATGTTACGTGCCCTGTACCAGTGGCTTTTGTTCATTAATAAAGGTAGCATCTGTTACCCTCTGAGAAACAGTGAAGGCTTTCCAGAGTATTTCTGTTCAAGCTTGACTCTCCATGTTTTCCCCCCACCCATTTGTAATTGACCTTTGCCCCTTAACTTTCAGCTTGGTAATAGAGGGAGAGATTTGAAGTGACTGAGAAGGACCGTCATTGGAGTATGAGAATACCAGCTGAAGAATGCCATGCTGAAGGGTCTCATTTTATAAACTTATAATCTTTTTCAGGAGGAGGCAAAACAGATCCAGACTCTGCAGAAAGCGAGCTCTCGTGCAGACTCCAGGGAGGATGAAATCTCTCCTCCTCCACCCAACCCAGCGGTAAAGGGCCGGAGGCGACGAGGTGCCATCAGTGCCGAGGTCTACACGGAGGAAGATGCTGCATCCTACGTGAGGAAGGTAGTTTTGATATCTGAACACTGAGGACATGGTTTTGGGACCCACGTGGTAGTCATCCAGTCTTCTTTGATGAATGCGTGCACTGTTTCGAGTAGTAAAACACAAACAGGATGGATCGTACTCCATCCTGTACAGTTCCTGGGTACTTGGGGAACAGGTTTCTGTAACAGCATGCCATCAGAGGAAATAACTAACAGTAATTCTGAAGCAGTGCGTAAGTGAGTTTGGGGGGTTTTCTTTTGCATGTTGCTGTTTTGCAGTAGAAGAGCAGGCAGTGCTCCTTTTTCTCTTGAATCGTGGTTTCAGTTTCTTGACATCGTGTACTTCATGTCGTGGCTTTCAGCCTTTTACCCTACAAGCGTCATTTGTCTCAGTTGGCTCTTGGAGCGAGTCTGCCGTTTCGTGTTATGCTGTTAGCCTGAAGGGGGAAGAGAATTGTGCTCGCAAGAGGTTGTGAGACTAACAGTACCTGATCACAGTTTAGAAAATGACCAATTGTCATAAAATGCTTAGTTTTGCCTCACTAATCACCTTGGGCAAGGTGATTTTGGTTTGTTCCTTCCGTTGTTGACTAGGAACCAAATACTAGCCTTTAAACACAGGCCTAGAGGTAGGCAAAGGGGATTATTGAGTCAATATTTGTTGAGAACTTCGTGGATCAAAGACAGTGCGAGGGTGTTGTGTTGAAAATATTTAACTCAAAGCAGCCTCGTTTAAATACCGTAATGTAGCTTTTGACATTTCATTGTAATTTAGGTTGCAAACATGAAGTGGTCTTGGTTTATGGAATTGTCATTTTGACTTTCTGTTCTTTCTTAGGTTATACCAAAAGATTATAAGACAATGGCTGCTTTGGCCAAAGCCATTGAAAAGAATGTACTGTTTTCACATCTTGATGATAATGAGAGAAGGTAGGTACAGGTACTTTGTTATTACTATTTTTCCAGTACAGTTGGTGTCCCAAACTAGTCTCATCACTGTTGCAAGTTTTAAGGCTCTTAGTAATTGTTCACCTGATAACAATCCAGGCTGAAAATCTGGGAGCTTTAATTCTAAGGTTAATGTTTGAAATCCACAGAAGCAGCACATGAAATGTAACGCGAGGCCTTCTCTCCCTTGCAGTGATATTTTTGATGCCATGTTTCCGGTTTCCTTTATTGCTGGAGAGACTGTTATTCAGCAAGGTAAGGGTGGCTGCTTTTGTGGCACGCACTATTATTATTGAAGTTTGTTTTCCTCTTTAAGCCTACGATTTTCCTTCTGTTATACTACTGGATTTTCTTATTTTTTTTTTAATTAAAATCTTCTGAGCTAAAAGGCACACTTTGCCTAAGGGACTAATATTTCCCTAACATCTGATACAGTTTTGTTTATGGTAACTGTTAAAGGGAATTCATGCATTTTTACTTTGTATGGAATTCCAGAACCACACATATTTCACATATCCTTTATATTGCTTATTAACCACTTACAGAGTAAAATAAAGTAGAAAATAAGCAAAACACTTATATTCTTCATCATCTAGCCCGTCTCTGTGTAAGGCTCTGTGCCTTCTACTGATCTCCCCTTTTCTGACCACATATAGTAACGTGGGTCTCATCTTTTGGTGTCCTCTCTTTTTTCCTTTCTTATTTACTCTCGAGATTTTCATGGGTCTTCATAATCCATATATTTTCTTGTTTAGTGACAATCTGATACTTGCTGCTTACTATCTGAGTTGTTTCTTGTTTTGTCGTTGTTATAGATGATGTAGCGTTTAATGTCTTTGTACACACAAGTGGCTTTTTTTTTCCCCCCCCAGAGGCACTCTTTGCCACGAGATGACTAAAAACTCAGTTTTACGACTTTCAAAATAAATTGCTGGACTTTTTTTCTTGAAAGGTTCTGTTAATTTGTAATACACCCTTCTCTCACAGCACCTGTCTAACATGAGTTCATTATTTTACATTAATGTGGTTTGCTTTGTGCCTCTTCAGTTAAGATGCTTCTAACTTTCTTTTGCTCTCCTCTCCTTTAGGTGATGAAGGGGACAACTTCTATGTGATTGATCAAGGAGAGATGGATGTAAGACGTAATAATTGCAAAAATATGTTGATAATCTTAAAAGTCAACTTGTTGATCTTTGTTGCTTCTAAGAGTTTCTGAAGGGCTATTACATCCTTGTATGTTCGATTCCTTTTGCCAAATATTTTACTGACACAGATACTTTCCAAAGGTAATTTCTTTAGCTAGACCTACAGTTCGGAACTTTTGCTAGATTAGTGGTTAAGGCGTGTGTGTGCGCTGTGGAATAAGACAGGTGTCAGGGAGAGTCTAGACCGGTCGTGAGCTGGGAGACTTGGTACAGCTTTCTTGGTTCTGGAAGTCTTGTTGCTCCCATAAGATTATTAGAAAACTCGGTACCTCCTACAGGTAAAATGCTTGCTTAGCACAGTGCCTGGCACAGTGCTCTGTAAATACATATGGTTAATATTGATGCTTAGTTCACTTTTTTTGCCCTGGTCATCCTTACAGAGGACCTTTTTCTTATCAGATAATTAAACTAGGTAAATTACAGACACTCTGAACTTACTTAACTCATTGTCAGAAGTCAGCTGTTTTGCTCGTTGTGTACCGAAAATGTAACACATTTTATTTTTTAAAACCAAGTTCAGGATTCTGACCTCTTAAAAAGGTTTGCAGGTTTTTAGTACTTAGTATTTGTCTATGGAAAAAAAAACAATGCTTTTGTATTTTAGGTCTATGTCAACAATGAGTGGGCAACCAGTGTTGGGGAAGGAGGGAGCTTTGGGGAGCTTGCTTTGATTTATGGAACACCTAGAGCAGCCACTGTCAAGGCAAAGACAAATGTGAAATTGTGGGGTATCGACCGAGACAGCTATAGAAGAATCCTTATGGTAAGATACATGGGTTTTGGAGTGTGGCTCACAATCCAGGCTGTGTAACTAATGTTTAAATAGTATCGCCACATTAAAATGAGAATATTTTTACTTTTAATGATTGAATGCTTGTATTAAGCCCAACTTAGCATTATTCATTATACCGTTTGAGACAGTGATCTTCTGGAACAAAACTTTGGCCAGAAATAACATGGGAAACAAATGTGGTGTATACGCAGTAGTGGTCAGCTTATGTTTGCGAATCTCTCCATTTGTCAGTCAGTGCATCTTCCCTTAGCTGATCTTTACACATTACAGTTGGCCTGAGAGGTGCTGCTTCCGAGTGCATGACGTTATTGAAGGCCACTCAGAAGCCATCAGCTTCTCTAAATGGAAAGGAGGTTAGCAGTGATGCAGGTTTCATGTCCCCTCTCACTGTAAAGGAATAAACGAAGTAATAAAACCATTGGAATGTTCTACTGATGTAATTAGACTCTATGAGAACTTTCTGACAAATTTATGGAGTAGCTTGGGTGTTTAAGTCCCAGTAAATGGCATTAGTCATCTTAAATGGCTTTCTTAAATTTGTGTATTACATGCCTGGCTGTTTGACAGTATGCGGTTGGACGTACTTAGAAAATTTTCTGTACTGGGGGATGGAGATAACGTATATCTATTGTGTATATACTTATGTAATGGATACATATTATATAATAAATATTAAATAATATAAATACATACTATACATATATATTTATCAGTATATAAATTGCCAAGGCAATGTACTGTGTAAGGGATGTTTATTATAGAGGAGCTGTGTGTTTCCCCTTTCTGTCCCCCAGATATATTTAGCAGACCTTGCAGATAAGACATTTTGGTTTAGTTTGGGGTTACGGCACTTTTTTTTGTCAGGGTGGGATGTTGTTTCTATGGTAGCAGTTGTATTTCCTTCCTTCTGTGGAGGATCAGGGTTGTGGAAAAGGACCCTGGGCTGGAAATATATTCAACTGTAGTCACATATATGACTTGGGTTTTTGTTGGTTTGGTTTGGTTTGGTTTGGTTTTTTTGGAGAACTGATTGTTTGCTTTTTTGACACTTCACTAATTTGTGAATTCTTTGGGCATATACCTGGTGTTTCTTTTAGGAGCAAGTTACTAAGAGCTTTTGATTGAACTGAACAGAGGGCTTACCATCTTCTACAGGAAGAAAACAATCATGTATCAAGCAGCAGCAGCAAGCTTTGACTTCTCTGTTGTTGTTCATTTACTTGAAACAGTAGTTTTTACTCCACAGCATGATGTGAATTACACTTTCTTTTTTCATTTATAGGGAAGCACGCTGAGAAAGCGCAAGATGTATGAGGAGTTTCTTAGTAAAGTGTCTATTTTAGGTAAGTTTTGGAAGATTGCATGGAGAATTGTTAAAATGAAGTGTTAGTGATGCTTAAGGAAACTCATTGTATTTCATAAAGATTACTCCAGTTAATCAACTCTTTTTCTGTTTTTAACGGTTAACAAAAACCACATGGAATGCAGAGTTGAAGTTTGACTAAGTTAGAAGTAATTTTAAAGTGTGTTTAATTTGCTAGTATATGACAGACCTCTAAGTTAGGAATAAGTGTTACTTATTCCTCCTGGAGAGACAGAAAGACTGGAAGTGTTCTCCTGAGTGTGGACTTTCACAGTTACTCCCCTTGGGACTTGTTTCTCTGTTGCTCCCTCTTGGTTCGGGAAAGTGAGTATTTCCAAGAATGCATTTCCTCTGTAGAAAGAATAGGTGTCATTAGCTTGCTTTCTCTGAAAAAATGCTAGAAGTGTGGGGAAATTTAGAGTAAAGTAGGGTAATTGGAGGCATTTCTACATATTTTGTTATGTGGACTTAGAGACATTATTGCAAGCTGTTCTTCATTGGGAGGGGAAATGGCGATTTTTTATAAGGTAATGTAGTCTTGAGTCATTGCTTTGTTATAGTGAATTGACTTTTTTGCCCGTATTTGTCCTTTCTCTGAAATGGTTACATTTGTTTAGTGTCTTGGGTGTTAGTTTGGCCTTTGGGAACAAAAGTTATTTTCTAGTTACTCTTGCTGGTTTTGTAAATAAATTCTACTGAGGATTTAAATTGATACATTATTTCTCTGAATCTCTGGAGCTATTACTTTTGGGTCCTGTAATTGTAGGTTCGATTTGCATTGATGACAGTCTTTAGGAATACTTAACGATTACATTTTTCTTATCCCTGTACCATCGGATGCAGTTGGTATAGGTTAACCTGGCCACTGGGCTACTGAAATAAAGCTCTAGGGTCATCTCAGTAACAGGAGGATCTTGGTGAGACGAGAGTTAGTTGAAGACGGGTGCCGTGTTGGATTAGAGCTGCTACTAGAGTATTTTGGTTGACTTCTTTATACCTTTTGTTTTGAGATTTTTAGCAATACCAAATAATGCAGAGAAATTCTTTTGATTCCCGCCTTTTAGAATCTCTGGACAAGTGGGAGCGTCTCACGGTAGCTGATGCGTTGGAACCAGTGCAGTTTGAAGACGGGCAGAAGATTGTGGTGCAGGGGGAGCCGGGAGATGAGTTCTTCATTATTTTAGAGGTAAAGACGGGGCAGCACCGGGCGGGGAATAGGGGGACACCAGTTCTCATTTACAGCTACCGTTCTTAAGATAAACAGTTTTATTTAAAACTTATCGTTCCCTTTGAAATGTCGTTGTTTGGTTTTCGGCCAGGCCACCACATTTTAAGTGAGGGCTTTGCATGAAGTAATAGCCGAATTCTGACCTACTCGAATTAATTCTCCTCACAGAAGCCAAACAGAACTCAGCCATTTAGCACACAGGCTGTGATGTGCTGCACCGTTCTTGTTAAAATCATGCATTTGGGCTAATTTGGCAAAAACAGGATCAAAGGCAGGTATTTAAATTCTAAATGTTACCATGTTTTATATCGTCACAATCCATGGAAATGTATAGCAGATACTCTTGCCAGCCAAGGAGATCCACAGAGCAGATTCGCTGTGCATGTGGCTCAGTAGATGCTAATCGGTGTTGTTTAAACCAGGGGTCGAGGAAGTCTCTCTGTAAAGGGCCAGAGACAGTAAGTAATTTCGGCATTTATGAGCCGTAGTGTTTCTGTTGCAGACTCAACTCTTGTCATAGTGGGAAGCAGCCATGGACAGTATCTAAATGAATTGGTGTATTGTTCCTATAACATTTTATTTACAAAAGCTGTGAGCTTGGATTTGGCCCCTCCTTCTACAGTTTGCTAACCCGCGTCTGAGCCCTCGAAGTACCTCAGCGTGATGAGAAGAACTTGCTGGCAGGACCTGCTGGTAAATAAGCATCAAGCCTGTAGTGACTCTCTTCAGTTACCTTTTATCACATGAACACAGAGGATTTGAAATAACTGCTGAGTCCTTTTTTTTTGCAGAGTAGCTAAAATTGCATAGGATATTTAAAATGCCACCCAGGATTTGAAAGTATTAATGTGTTTTGCTTTTTGGTGATTTTGTTACAGGGTTCAGCTGCTGTGCTACAGCGTCGTTCAGAAAATGAAGAATTTGTTGAAGTGGGAAGATTGGGGCCTTCTGATTATTTTGGTATGTGGATTTCCTCACAATAAACACATAGTTTCTGTAAGTCACTTCTCAGTGAGCTATCACAGTCTTTCATAGTCTTGCCTTTTCTTCTCCTGAATTTTATTTTTTATTTTAGTTTTCGGCTCTCAGAGAGGTAGTGTGAGATTTTGACCTTGACTCAGTTAATAATTTATTGTCTCATATCTGTCAGTTGGTTTTTTTCCTGAGGTGCAGATGTAGTGTGGCCTGTACTGAGTTACTAGGAGGAAAAATACCGGTTTTCTTTTCCCCGGAGGGCGCCCCTCAGAAGACGTTTCTGAGGGAGCTAGCCTACTCTCAGCCCTTTCCCCTCCTGCAGGCGAAATCGCGCTGCTGATGAATCGTCCTCGCGCTGCCACCGTGGTTGCCCGTGGCCCACTGAAGTGCGTCAAGCTGGACCGCCCGAGGTTTGAACGTGTTCTTGGCCCGTGCTCGGACATCCTCAAACGGAACATCCAGCAGTACAACAGTTTTGTGTCCCTGTCCGTCTGAAACCTGCTTCCCGTGCCTCCCTTTCGCCTCTCCCTGTCCAGGCTTCCCCACGCAGACTGCTCTCTGGCCCCTCTTTGCAGCGCCACGTGGCCAGTGGCATCGCAGCTTCTTGTCGGTTTCTGTTAAAAGTTGCTCTTATCGCACATTTTTATTTTGGAGCATAACTGAGCGCTCACACACAGTTAAATAAATAGAAGAGTTCTGTGGACGCTTGGCTGTTCCCGCTTCTCTGTGCAGTGGTAGTGTTCACCCTGGGCCGCGCGCGCCACGCTTTCTGGTGAGGGCAGACCCTGCGCCACAGGAGTTACCGTAGAGCCATGACGTAACCGTGCAAGATTGCCTTTCAAGTGACAGAAGCTTCCTGTTCTCATAAGCAGATTCTAGACTGTGGCCATATATGCTATATTTCTTTATAGAATAAATGATTTCTCATTAAGCTCTGAGGATTAGGGAAAACAGATACAGAAAAATCTTAGTATAGTAGAAAGACACCTGCCTGTATTTAAACTAGTTTAAGGGTGGAAAAATGCCCATTTTTGCTAATTATCAGATGGAAATGATCTGTTCAGTTCTGTTTTTTTCTTTTTAACAAGAATTTTTGTTTGTCAGGTGGCTTTGCCTGGTTTTGTTTATATCTTGTTCCTACTGTTTCCTCTCCAATTCTAAAACATGCTGAGGAGTGGCTGTGTCTATACCTACCTGCCTTTTAAGGTCACACCAGATCATAAGCTGCAAATATTGGGTAATGATTTAACTACATCTGCCTCAGCTCACAAATTCTGAGTACACCTTCATTTATCCAGCTAGTGCCAAATGTTGATCATCAGATGCTGAATTGAGAATAAGAATTTGAGGTCTGCACTATTGGTTGCTAACTTAAGAGTTTTTCGTTAATGTCTATCCTTCAGTTGAGTCCAGGATAATAATCTCTTACGCTCTTTAAGCACTGATTCCAGGAGATTGGATTTACTGGGAAGAGACAGACTAAATGTCGTAACCGAAAAATGGAGGCGGGATTGCTAAAGAGAGAAGTGGCAGGTGGACAAAGTTCAGTGTTGGGAGCTCTGCCCCACTCAGTTCACTGGGGCAGGAGATTTGGGAAGAAGTGTTTTACTTTGCTTTAACCTTTCCTCCCCTGTTTACATCAACTAGAATTTATGGTGGGTTGGGGGGTGGGGTAGGATGTGTTTGTGTTTCAAATTGGTCTAAAAGGCTATCCTACAGAAAAGTTCTGCTTTCCTATCTACCACCTTATTTCTCTGGCAAACTTTTTTGTGTAAACGAGTGTTTCGAGTCTTAACTTTATTTCAGTATTTTCCAGCCTTATCAAGGTTATGTGTTGTTACATTATTCCATGTGCACCAATGATACCCAACTGTTTATTTTTATTATTGTTATTTTTTGAAACAAGATCTCACAGTTCCATAATGTAGGCACTTTTATTTGCATTGTGATTTATATAGTATGTAGGGTTATATTGGGGGTAACTGCAAGCATTTTTTCCATCTGTGTGCATCTGGCTCTGATTTTTAATCCCCTCTCCTTCCCCTTTCCCAGGTAATTTAAATTGGTCATGGTAAATTTCTTTCATAGATTTGAACAGCTTTTGGGTTGTTACTAAGTTTGGAGTATACATCTGGGAAAGAGATTTTATTTACATTTTAGTGTGGGATAGAAAGCCACCTTATTTCAAATTTTTTATCTTTCAAAATAATCTTTACTAAATGAGGATTTTCTGGTCTGTATTTTGTGTTTAGCTTTTTATATTTAAAAGATTAAAAATAAAAATTATGTTCTTATTAGCTTAAAGCTTGATTTGATCTTTGTTTAAATGCCAAAACTGTACTTAACTAAATTATTTAGAATGCCATAAGTTTGCAGAGTTTCATATATGTATATAATCATGCTCATGTGTATTTAGATTCATAACAGTGATTTCTAAATGAGTTTTGTTCTTAAATCATTTGGCTTTGCTGTTTACTCCCTTTTGTAATTTTTAATCTAAGGAAATTTAAGTCTGAATTTAAAAATGATCACATTTAAAGCCTTATCTTTGTGCAGTCTATGTGAGAAATCACGATTGGCACCATTTGTCTCAGTGGATAGTCAAGGCTTTAGAAGTCATTGTTTCTGGGCTTGGTAAGTGGATTTATGAGCTCCACTGCTCTAGAAAGCGTAGATGGCCAAAGGACCATTTTGTATTGTTTCCTGGTCACTAGTCTGATTATAGTGTGTGTGCTAATATACCCTCTTCTCTTTGTTATGGATTGTCTTAATGGTAGGTCAAGTAATAAAAAAGATTAAATAATTTAATTCTCTAACGAATCAGTTTTTCTTCCCTTTCTCCTTTGCTTCTCTTCTCCCTCTCCCCCCCACCACCCCCGAAGCTGCTAATCCGGTGGGCATGAATGAAAATCGGAAGTGAATTAGGGGATCGGTGTTTTGAAGGAATAATATGTTTGTTTTCAGTGTTTTCCAGTTCAGTTTGTCAAAGAATGAATCTAAAAACCTTTCTTTAAGGGTAATTGATATGTAGCAGATCTGTACTGAGCCATGGAAGGAAAACATTAAATCAGAGGTCAAAGATTTCCTTTTTATTGAGGGTAGACTGGTTCTCTGGCTTTGGAACTTTCCCACACTTAATGGGGGATGTCATTTCTAGGTCAGCATACTCTTTGGTTTAAATTTAATATGTGCATTCATATATTTAGGTATGCTTCTATATTTTGCATACATATAAAGTCAATTCTAACATTTCTCAGATTTCTGAGGCGGGGACGATTAAATTGAATTCATTAGCATATTGGAATGAATTTCTTTACATCCAGTGAAGCTGGAGATAACGTTGTATTGCCCAGAACGTTGCTTAAGTTGTGCTGCTTTGTAACACATGCACTTTGTCCAGATTCAGTAATCCCCTCCCTCAACCCGCTGGAGTTGGGACCTTTTGAGTCACAACAGAATATAATTGAAGAACATTTTCCTGGGTTGACTGTACTGGTTGTAGTTTAATTTTCCCTCTAAAGCACTGGCTTATATGAAATCCCGTTTTGTATTTTAATGACTCAAATATTGACAGTGTCAGATTGAAGTAGAGTCTGATGCTAGTTTTCTTAATATTTTGCTTGTTTCTCTCCAACCACAGCTGAACAGCTGAACCCTTTCTGTATTTTCGTTAGGCCCTGGCAGTGTCCTTCTAGATGGGCTAAAACTACTAAAACAGCAGTGTGTTGGTCACCATCATAATAGCCATCAGGAAAGACTGTGGAGAGAACATAGGAGGGAGAATGGTAAATCTCTCCCTTCTTACCCTGAGGAGTTTCACACAGCAGTCAGTGTTACTGTGTGTGTATAAAGTTAAAATCTGTGGACTGACAGAAGTCCGGAGCTGTGACTGCATCCTGATGCTGCCTAAAAACCCAAACCACTAACGAGCAGAATTTTTTCGTTTTGCGAAAGCTCTCTGCCAGTGTAGCTTAAGTAGCTTTGTGGTTTTCTAAGTCACCACTAGATGGAGGGCTTTTTATCATCTTTGACAGCCTCAAAGTCAGTTACGGTTGGTCCTCGATGTTCGTGGATGCTATATTGGCAAACTTTGCAAATTTGCGTACTTGCTGAAATTCATTTGTAACCCCCAAATCAGTACTCCCGGCACTGTCACAGTCATTCCTGGACTTGAGTGGAGAGGGGCCCGCGTCTCCCGACACGTGAGTGCCTGGCGGAGGACCGGGCACACTCGGCCTTCTTGTTTCAGCTGAAATCAGATGCCCTTGTTTTGGTCTATTTAGTGCCACTTTTTTGCATTTTTGTACTTCCTGTTGGTGGTTTCTCTATTTAAAGTGACCCCCAGAGGAGTGCTCGTGTCCTGGCTGGGGGTCCCGAGGGTGAGACGGCTGTGGTGGGTCTCTAGAGGGGTACGTGTTAGCTAGCTTCCCTCAGGTGTGAGCGGCAGTGCCGTTGGCCGAGCTCAGTGTTCGTGAAGCAACAGCGGATACTAACTGAGGTGTCTTCAACACACCGTAACACAGGAATCAAGATGGTGTATTGGTAGGTTGACAGGAATGTCACCAGAGGCTCTCACAGGAACCTACAGCCCTGTATTGCTTCCAGGGGAAGGCGGCCGTCTGCTGATTCCGTGTCCTTGGTGGACTCATCAACCATAAAACTACCACAGATAAGAGAATCAACTACCCTTTTTACCGTCTTCAGACTCAGATTGTCGTCCTGACTTTGGGGGAGGCTAAGTGAGTTCCTCCAGACCCCTTTCTCCACCAGCTCGTGGGCTGTCGGTTGCCTTTCATTTTTTAGTTTGCTGTCAGTAGTACTGACAGGAAAACACGAAAAGTTCTTAACATAGAGACAGGAGAGTTTTTACGTCGTGGAAAATTGGAACAGTGGTCCAAAATGAGCGTGTTGGAAGAACTTGATCTAAGACTGGGGTCTTCTGTTTTCTGGTATTTTTGACAAATGGTAGAGGCTTAATTTTGGTATTAGTGAAAAAATAATGGATGGGTGAATAATGAGATATCTAGGTGTGCGACATACTGTGGTCAAACTCAGTTCTCTTACTCTCAGTCTGTAAAGTACGCCAGCATTTTTATTATAGGCCACCTGAAAACTAGTCCGTTGTCACGGAAGAGGCCGGGTCGAGGTGGAGCTGGGCCTGCCTTCCTGAGCCTCTGCAGTTTGGAAGTTCAGACCATTTTGTGCTATAGTCTCTGAACACCTTCGCCTGAATATTCTCCTCTCGCTCCGCTGTGTGTGATTACCTGGTTCCCCCTCCAAGAGGAAACGTACGCTTGAAGTAGAGGAAACCATCTGTGAAGCGGGAGGCCTTGAGCAGCAGCAGCAGAGAAGCCTCAGTAACGCGAGGCTCTGGGATTGAGCTTCCTCCTACTGAGGACTGATATTTGGTTTAAAGCCAACAAATACAACTGCATAAATTGGGTGAGATGCTGTTGAGTTTTGTGTTACAGTGGAAAGAACGCTTTGGGATAGTTGTGAATCATTTAAGTTGCGTGATTTTAGTTAACCTGCCTGAGCCTGAGTTTTCTTGGAGGTACGTTGGGGGGGTCAGGGGTTCTGTCTGTCGGGGAGGATCGGAAGCCTGCGTTTGACTTTCGCACGTGCAGAACGAGCTCCATGAATGGAAGTGGTATCACTGTCACGGGGACGTAGGTCCGGGGCAGCGCACCAGTGATGGGGGCAGCCGGGCTGGGCCGGAAGCGCCTCTGTCTCTGGCACACGGCGGAAGTCTTGGAGGACGTCTGGAGGCGTCTTGACCTGCTACCCGCTTTAGCGACAGCTTCTTCCCACCCCACTCGTACTGGTTTTTGCTCCTCTGGCCTGTACCAGAAAAGCTGAGCTGATGACATCAGCCGTTTTTCCTTGCTGAGTGATTAATGTGAATACACGCCTATCCTGTGTGTTTTCATGGATTGTTGAATAAGAAACAGCCTCCTGTTCAGACACGAGCAGGTCAGCAGGGAGGAGGCTGAAGAGACAGGAAACCCCTGAGATGCCCACTTTTGAGGGAGGCTTGGAAAGTAAACTTGACTTAGTGCTTTCTGAGTGAGCAGAGGGGAGTGGCATCCGGAGTGCCAGGCTTCTCCAGACAGCCCTGCTGCGCTTGGGGATGGGTGGGGCACAATTCCTGAACCTTAGGGGAGGAGGACTCACCGGTGGGCTCGGGTCGGCCCTGGCTGTTCTGCTGAGTCCAGGCTCACGTACCTGCTGGACCCGTTCTTCCGCTGTCCCACCTTCAGGGCCACCGTAGCTTTGCCTTCTGTTGTTACCGGATGCCAGCTTTGACAGCCTGGATGTTATTTCAACTGATGTTTACTCTTCGGATTGAAATATCCCTTCTCTGATACTCTGAGCAAACCCCTATGTTATTTTCACCTCTTGTAATAACACTTCTGAGAAATTACTTTAGGACCAGTCAGTAGGGATTTTTGTGTTCAGACTGGGCCACAGTGTTCAGAATATGAATAGAAAGTGTGCAGACTACTTTGAACCAGTTGGAGTTACCATATTTAGGTTTTTTTGGGGGGGGGGCTCTGCTTGTGAGATGCCAGATGTTTATTAATCTGGATCGGGAATTATCCTTGTAGATGTAATAAAGATCTAGGGGTGTCCATCTGATGTCCCGTAATTTTATTTGTTACAGTTAATGCTCTCTCCTGGGAGCCAGGCTTCCAGGCCTGTCCTGTGTCCAGATTTCCCAGTGGGCTCAGCAGGTGGTCTGTGGCCTTGAAGCAGAGCTTCTGGGGAGATAGGGAGCCAGGGCAGTGCTCCAAGTAGGAAAGTGCAGTGGGTCCCACTTCTTTTGCTCTTGGAATCATCCCAGCGCCCTGCCTGCTTCGTGAGCTCCTGACCCAGGCCCCAGCCTGGCTGGGGCCCGCGAGGACACTGTGGTCCACACTCCAGAGTCCACCGCGGGCTCCAGGCGTAGTTCCCGAGGTTGGACTCGTCCAGCCCCTAGGTGGGGCCAGAGTCTGGGGCCGACTGTCCCGTGGGGCCGTTGGCCACGACGCTGTGCTCTCCGTGGGCCTCTATGCAGCCCTGCACGGTCCTGAGGACAGTCTGGAGCCTGCGATCCAGGGCGAGGAGGTGCGGCTCTGTGAGCACAGGCGTGAGCTGGTCTTCCAGCAGCGACTCCCTCATTACGTCGCTGAGTCTGTAGTCGGCTTGGGCCAGCAGCTGCAGGTGCGAGAGTGTTTTCCTTTTTATTCTGGAAGGACAAAGTCAGGGGACCAAGTAAGTAAACGTAAAGAAAGAAACTTCTCGAACTTACTTCCTTCCCCGCCGACAGTGGTGGGGGCTGAGGTCTGGAGAGCCTTCGCCCCCAGTGTCTTCTCAGGCACGTCTTAATGCAAACCCGGTAAGAAGGGAATGGATGAAGGGTGACAGCTATAGGACTTGGCGGTCCTTGGCCCAGTGGTCCCGCCAAGCATCTGCTGCTCCTCGGGGAATCCAAACAGAAGTGCTGTGTAATAAGGAAATTGAAAGCTAACGAGAGAAGTTTCCAGCAGGTGAAATGATGAAGATGTTTGCCGTCTCAGAAGCTGCGGGTACCGCCGGGCTCCAAGTTGTTTCTGCTCGACTTTGTAATTCTGATTTCTCTGTCAGATTCTAAAATCAGGGATGGAAATGGGGTAGGGCCAACCTTGCCTTTAGGATTTTGATTTCTTTGTATGTGGGAATGTGACCTGGACTCAGATGTGTAAGCAGCTTAGGTGTCCACGCATTGTCACACACAACTCCTGCCTTTCCTAACTCAGGAAGAGAGGAAGTGGGTAGGGAGGGAGGCACACGTAAGTTACCCCAAGAAGTGGAGAAAGAAAGTTCAGGCTCTGCTCTGAGTTTTCCAGCTGGAAATAGACACCATTTTGCTATGTGTGGGCCACGTGTTTCTACTTAGCTCCGGACACTGCAGCTGAGCAGGTGGACGATCTTGACCAGCTCGGCTGAAACACCAGAGAGGTGTAGAGGCAGGGCAGAGATTCTCTGGAGAAATGCGGGCCAGGCAGAGGCCTGAGGACTTCCTTTAATCTGACATGAGTTTATGGGACTTCAGTCAGGATTTTGCGTAGCTGATGATCAGGCAGTAGTACCTATGAGCTTACGTGAGTGCGGGGCGCAGCAGAGGTCTGGTTAGTCCTGTCAGAGGCCGTCGGGCTCTTCAAAAAGTGAGTGATGATCTGAGTGTGTTTTTAAAGCGGGCGACCGAGAGGTTTGAAAAGATTAGATCCTAAGTCATCTGCTGAGAGATGAAGGTGTGAGAAGTGCTGGGGACAGTTCTGTGGTTGTAGCACCAGGAATGAGGTGGTTCCTGTCATCCTACCCACCCACACCCACATCCTCGGCCAGTGAAAACCGATGACCTGCGCAGCTTGGTGGCAAGCAGGACGAAGTGTCACAGTTGTGACCCGTCCCTGAACGGAACGCTCACCGGCAGCACTGGGAGAGAGGCGAGAGGATGGAGACTTCGTCGTGGGAGTGCCGTCCAAACCTGCAGGGAGGAGAGACAGGCTTTCACGGGGGCACGGGGGCA